TCAGTGCTGCAGGAACATGGGAACAAGGGAAAAAACCAGACCACATCAGCAGTTGATGGTGAAGCACATGTCCAGCCTAACCCACCCAGGTAACAGCACAACTGCTGTACACACCTGGATATCTATGGAAGTCCAGGCTGAGAAAAACGGGCACAGAACAGATGTCACCTCAGGAAAGAGCTGAAGGATCAGGATGCTGTAATTTAAACATCCATAGCTTTCTGACAAGGGCCTTGCTAAACACAACACCTGTTAGCTTATTTAGGTTTTGCTTCTGAAAAAGCTCTCTAACAACAAAAAATGTTGGTTTGGTTCTTGCAAAGAGCATGTACAGAGTGATCTTACTCAGGGACTCCACTGGCGATGGGACGACGAAGGCGATTTCTGTCAGGGCATCTGCGTAGTACAGCACCTTCTTCTGCCCATTGAAGATACTTGCCCCAACATCTTCTGAGATAACTAGCTCATCTGAAAGGGACAGAAAAAGTAAGTTTAGCCAAAAGGAAGGTGTACCTCTTTACACACTGCCTCAAAAATGACCTTCAAATACAAGCTGCAATCAGTGAGAAGTCACATGAATCTCATTTTAAACTGAAAGGATTTCACAGTCAAATCTCATGGCCTTCCTGGAGGAAATGGCATTTTGGGTTGGGAGTGGCTTTATTTTGAACACATTTCCATTGTACTGCATTCCTTATTTCCCAGTACTGTAGTAAGCACATCTGCCACAAGAATTCATCTACTCTCTATTTCTGAGCATTCCCTCTAGCAGCATCACTGTTCGTTCTTCCATTTCCAAAGGATTCTAACATTTGGAATTTTGGTCTGATACTATTCTAGAATTCAAACCAGTTTCTACAGACCTTCATCTGTCTTTCCTCTTCCAAGAAGAGTTAGAAAAAGATCCCTCTCCAGTTAGTCCAAGAAAACTCCTGGCTCTCAGCCCCCACGGAGTCCCTCGTCACAGCTGGCCAATGCAGGCCTTCACAGTATAGGAAGAGCTTCCCTCCTCCTTTTTCTTCCCCATGTCACCTCCAGAAAGACTAGCAAGGACTTTAAACTGAGTGATTTCTCTGATCCAGTTTCCAGAAGAGTTCCTGGGACAGCTGCCTCAGCAAAGCCACTGGAGCAGTGAAGTTCACATGCTGACAGAGAAGAGGCCAGAGGCACGCCAAGGACTCCGAGCCACGCTCCTCTGTCAGGGAAGCATGGCCACAGCTCCAGTGCACAGCTCCCAGGGAGCAGCACCCCAACCCAAACACAACTGTTTCAGAACTTCTGTGCTTCTGGGAGTGTGCAGGGAAACATATGTATGTGGAATTATTTTAATCACAACTCACTGAAAGCTACTCCAGTATCACAGATTCATCTGGGCTGCAAAAGACCTCCAAGATCATCAACTCCAATCTGGAGAAGAGGAGGCTCAGGGGTGACCTTATTGCCCTCTACAACTCCCTGACAGGAGGTTGGAGTCAGGTGGGGGTTGGTCTCTTCTCCCAGGCAACCAGCAGCAGGACAAGAGGGCACAGACTCAAGCTCTGCCAGGGGAGGGTTAGGTATGAGGAAGAGATTTTTTATGGAGAGAGTGATCAGACATTGGAATGTGCGGCCCAGGGAGGTGGTGGATTCACCATCCCTGGAGGTTTTCAAGGTGGCACTTAGTGCCAAGGTCTAGTAATGATGGTGGGGTTGGACTTGATGATCTCTTCCAACCTGGTTAATTATATGATTCCCCAGCGGTGCCAAGGCCACCACTAACCATGTCCTCAAGTGCCACATCTGCATGGCTTTTAAATCCCTTCAGGCATGGTGACTGGGCAGCTGTGCCAGGGCCTGACCACCCTTTCAGTGAAGAGATTTTCCAAAACCCAACCTAAATCTCCCCTGGCACAACCTGAGGCCATTTCCTCTCGTCCTGTCACTTGAAGCTTAGTTTAACATTTCCACGTTTCTGTCTAGCAGACATCAGCATTTATAAGAACTAACTATGCCAGTGCTCAGACAGGCACTCAGGAGCAGGAAATTGTCTTCTAAAGGAGCCTAAACGTTTTAATTTAATGTGACACCATTTGCTGTGCCTTACCTTGCTCAGGCCCCTCTTCATCACTGCAGCTGTTGATTGACCAGCTTGTCGAGACGTGGCCAGTCCACCCAGGGTGCTTCCCCACGTCAACAGACCAGCCAAGAGACAACAAGAACTCCAAAAAGTGGGGCTGAACAATTCTGGAAGACTCCATGTTCTTCAGGATCTGAAACAACCAGCAGCACCATGTTGGTGCAGGAGCAGGAAACAGGTCTCCTCCACCTTTTTAATTAGCATTTTTTTGTCACCACATGGTTTTGCCCAAATATAGCTCCAGAACAAGCCTGGAACCCCAGACATTCTACATGGACACTACACCCTGCTGCCTAGCATTCTCCCATGTCCTATTCCATCAGCTTGACTCTCTGCCAGAGTTTTCAAATCCTGTAAAACAGTGAATCAAACTGCTGGAAATGGCAATTTTGAGACTCAGCCACCGATCAGGAACAAACCACAGAGTGTTCAGTGCAGAACTGCATTAGCACCAAAGGTAACAGGAATATTTTCTGGACAATTTTCACTGTTAAAACTGAGGTGAAATTTGAGGAGAAAGGTATGTTCTTGCTACTCACCTATACACGACACACAGCAATTTAGAGGCCTCACAGTACATTAAATCATGAAACTGATTTTCCAAACCAATTTT